TTTTTTTTTTAACACTAACAATTATTTTCTGCATTTCCTAGTAAAAGAACAAAAAGAGAAAAAAAATGAAGAAAAAGAAGTAACAATCTTTTCAATGCATTTCGAACACCGAATATTTTTTGTGAATTTTGCAAACAGTTGTGAAATCGATTCGTAATATGTGAAGGAAAAAATATTCTGACTCGTATATTATAAATACAATCAAATATTTTCTCTGCCTTTATTTTTTGAGGCACGATCTTTCGTGTTACTTTAGTTTTTGCTCGTTGCAGCAATTTCTATTGAAACTTGAAGGTAATTAACCGTATAATAATTGTTTACTATAATTTATGATATACGAGTCAATTGAAACAGTGCGTACGTCGATAAGTGTAATTTTTGTGTTACATCGAATAATTTATAAACGATATTTCTGAAGATACAAGATATTTATAACTCCTATGAGAAACGTGTTATAGTTAAAGCTAGAATTTCGAATGGATGCAACCAGCCTACGATATTCATTTTCTACTATCGATCGTCTACTATGGAATCTTGATAAAAGTTTTTAATTTTTTATATCATATCACCTATCGTATCTAAAAAATCAATATTAGCATTTGTATACTGAATAGAACGCGATAAAAATAAAAAAAATATTTCACTAGAACATCTAAAATTGATAAAAAAAAAATTTTGCTGTTTATATGTCTGAATCAATGATGGTGTTCAAGTTTTTAACAATGGTATTTCTAATCAATTGAATTATCTTCAGAACTGATACTTTTTATTCCTCTGACTGATGCGATGTAAAAGAAAGTAGATGTATGATAGTGTGGTCTTTGTACATTCGAAATAAATTAAACTATGTTGTTGAAGCTATATAATATTCTTGGTATATAAATTTATTATTATATATATTTATATATTTTATGTTATACAAAAAAAAAAAAATACTAAAACAATCATTTACATCCCTGTAAGGGCTACATCTTAAAAATAATCAAACAAGCTGAAAAGCCAAAATAAAAGACCTTACTTATATATCGTATTTAGCTATCACTAGTCATCGTCAAATTTATAATGAATTACATATTTAATGAGATTAAATCCTTGTTTCTAAGTATAAATATGTATAGATCTTTCCGTTTTTCTTTTAAATTATTTAAATACGTACGACAAAAGTTCTCAGTTTTAGATTGCATATGACAAAAAGGAGTGCAACTTTTCATTAATATTTAGAACTTGATTGCACCATTTTTCGTTAAAAAAATTACTTTATTATGATACTGTATAGAAGTCGAATATTTGCTACATAAAAAAGAAATATTATCTAACATATATCATATTACATATAGTCAATATATACTTAACTTGTATTTTGTATGTTGATTAAAATTAAGAAACGCTTTTTGCTTTGTTTCTGATTCCCAGTGCAGGACTTTGTGGATTGGTTACAGGCTTGGTTGATTTTGCAATAACCATAGGTTTATAAACTGGCATTGGTTTAGCTTTCACCTCTGTCATTTTGCGCAACTTCAATTTTTCCATTTTTTGTTCTAACAATCTGCATCTTTCCTCCTGTAATTTCTTTGCTTTGAATTCTTGCTCTCTTTTCTTGATTATGTCATCGAATTCGTTCCTCTCTTGAATTTTCATATTTAATTTAAGCTTATCAACTTTATTCTGAGCATTGCTCAATTTTTTATTCTTAATATCTATGAAAGGCATACCAATTTTACTTTGAAGTTTATCACAGTGATTCACAGTTTGCTGGCTTGTCTGTTTTTTCTTTGTGCTTATGCATGATACAGTATTGTTCATAGTACAAGGCTGCTTATTTTCTCGGTCACTGCTACTTTTTGTTTGTCTTGTTTCAAGTGCTTTGCAACTATATCCTTTGTTTCGTATATTTTCTTTCTCTGAACCACGAATAAAGCATGGAATAGAATTGGTATTGAGTATTTTAGCAGTTTCCAATCTTTCAAATTGTTTAACAGGTTCGTCCTTCTTAGCAACAAATCTGTTTCTTTCTTCCAAACTAGATGAACGTGTAATCATAGTTCTCTTCTGTTTCTGGTCTTTAACTGCACTTGTTGACTTTGAAAATTTTGGAACAGGTCTCGCGTGGAACTGCGTTTTATTTTTATTACTTTCCTGAATACACAAATTTCTCAGTTTTTCTTGTTTCTTCAACTGAAACTCCCTATTGCGAAGTTCGAATTCAACTCTCATAGTACCCCTTACCTCAGGTTCAGAACTATTTATCTTTTTACAAGAAACACTTGAAGAACTAGTAGAACGACTGATAGATACAGTTTTTTGATGTTCCTTGGTATTCATATTCTGTTGTATATTTACAGATGGATCTGTTGGGTGACGTGTTTTTTTAGATTGAGTTAAATGGAATTCTTCCGTAATTGTATTGGGTTTTTTAGGCACCTTCTTTAATAATGTTGGACCTTTTAATATATTAACTGGTACAGGGTTCGCTTTAATTTGATGTTTCTTCATATTTTCAAGTTCTAATTTCTCCCTCTCTTGCTGATTCAAAGTATTAGTTGTTCTTTTTCTCTGTTTACACCTCAGCGCAGGAGAAATTGGATAAGTGAGCTTCAGTGGTGATTGTTTTAACTTCATTAATAAACCAGGCTTCATAGTTCTGTTACTAAGAGTACGAAATCTTTCAGGCGTTTCTGTTTGAAACTTGGAAATTGCTTCTGCCAAACTTACAAACTGATTTGAATGTTTCCGGTTCCTTATTAAGCTAGTTCTACGATACTGACAAGTAAGTACTTTTGGTTTTCCAAATGAATATTGCTTTGTATTAAGTGCATTGTGCTGTGTTCTTGGAACTTTTACAATTTTGTATGATAATCTTCGGTCTGAAGGATCATCTTTTGAACAAACATTGACTTTTGATTTCATTGCTGATTCGTGTTTATTCTTTATAAACGCAGTTTGTGGATTGTTTATTTTTTTCACATCATTGATATGAGCATCTCTCAAGGAGGACTTTGCCTCTGACATACCCTCTCTAATCTTCTTGGGTACTGTACTTTTAACTTTATGTTGTGCTGGCATTACCTTAAAAGCAGATGTTAGCTCTGTTATTGATACACTCCATGTCTGATGAATCTTACTGGACTTCTCATCTAACTTCAACTCTTTGGGAGGTTCATTGTTCGTAGTTTGAACTACAGCATGTTTTTTATTGTCATGAGGTATAAAATACGCTACGCTAGAACGTACGCTAGAACGTACAGGCGTCCCTGGTTCTAAACTGTCATCAAATTTTGTTTCATTGACAGATTGTTCGCTTTTATTTTCTTGCTTACACGGGTATAAATTTGATGAATATTTAAAATACATTTGAGGCTTGTGCACTTCGTGTTCTATCTCGAAATAATCATCGGCAAAAATTTGCGGGCTGCGTGTAAAATCTGCCCACTGTGGTGCGCAACAATTATCCATCGTATCAAAAAAATTTGAACTTATGAATTAGATATTCAATGAAGTATTACAGCAAGCTGTTACGAGTCGGATAATATTCAAACATAATCTACAAAGAAAAACGCGAAGGTAAACAAAATATTATTTCAAATATTACTTCATTTTTATACGTGGTGTTTATAGGTTTATGCGTTTTATATGTGGTGTTTGTAGGTACCTTTATAATTTCAAGCAGCTCCTTCGCAATTCTTTCAACAGTTAATTACACAAAAAACACTCTTCTCTTCAGAATATTATCTTTTCAAGCACAGAGAATACCAATAAGACAATTGGTTAATGTATACGTTGACGGATTTGAGTTTGAAATTTTCAAACCGTCTAAATGGTTAGAAATAAAATGCGCATAACATGAAAACTAAACATCACTATCATTTTCCTAGGAATTTTATTGGTTATTGTATGTTCAAGGTTGGTACAGCGATGGACCTACCTATCGTGGAAACGCACCGTCAAGTGCGATGACTACGCATCCAAGTGCGCAGGATTGTTTCTGCGCACGGAAATACAAATAGTTGCGGTTCAAATCACTTTCACCTGTCATATTTATATCCTGTCAGTATTATATTCATTAATAAGTTACAGTTGTTGTTAGTCATACTTAACATTATATACTAACATTGTATTGAATATACATTCATAATAATTATTTTCAAATTTTAAGTTTAAGGTTTTAAGTTTTTATTTAATCAATCATGGTATAACAGACACATTGCGCTTTGTTATAATGTCAATAAAATTGTAAAATATTTTATGTAATATACAGAACATGTATATACATGAAAATATTTTTATGGCAAGATAAAATTCAGGAGTCACTGAAAATTGTAGAAAATCAGATGATATATGGGACGTTTTACATGTAAAGTTGGCGCGCAAAAGCGCCTCTAACATCCGCATACAGAATTAACCAGACATGTCGTCGGATGTATTTGCTGGATTAATGTTCGCCTGCAAAGATGTAAATAAACTGTTGATTAGCTGACCAGTTTCGTGCGATGAATCGTACGAGGACCGCAATATGTGCGTAGCTGCATGCACAGAACCATTTATCCGGGAATCCAAAGGTAGGGGCTCAAGAATGGCGCGCGCGCGTATGTACAACGATCGAACGTAGCAGACGGAACATATTGTTTCGTCAACGTTTATTTCTGTTCCGACGTGCGCAAATTCTTCATCGAGCACACACTAATTGATCAAACAATTCTCCCAAGATATTTCCATTGGAATTGTACTTATTCCCTGAGATTTCCATTGTTGAAGATCCTCCTTGGCCAACCTCTCACTCTGCCCGTCCTCTTGTCTATTTACTCGATTTCCGATCCGCGATGGAAACGTCAATGTGACAATCACAGATATGGCATTGGTATCAGATTAATTTTAAAAACAGTGAAACCGTGAAATGAGAGAAAATGCTTCGGTGTAGCCTGACGTGGCTAGTGAAAAATTCGTTAAAATTCACTTGTGAAAACAATCTCGCGATAATGCGCGAGGAGAGCTATTACTTTACGTTTAATCTCTGATAAAGACCATCGAGTGGGAAATTTCCAGTAATGTATATTTATGTTTAATTATCTTGAGTCAGAAGTATTCGTTAAACTGTCTTTCAGCATCTTGCAGCCTTGTTCTCCGTTGCAGCGTGTTCTCTATCTGTTATCGTTTAAACAACTGCAACTTTTTGCAGATGAACGTTCCACTATATGGGCTTCTTGGAGTTGCGGCTGCTGTACTCGTGTATGTCTTTGGAATTGGAATGATAGCGAAGCTGTTTGTTTGTCTGCTAGCCTTAATTTTAGGGTATGATCCAAACAGCCTGATCCAAATAAATTTGATGTTTCAATATTGAGATATATTGAGATAATCAATGTTTTTCCATCTGTCTCTTGTTGCAGAACAATCACGTGTATATATAGAACGTATGGCGCAAATGTCGACAAAGCAGTTAAATCTGAAAGGGAAGACTTAAACGAGAAGACTGAAAAGTTACGGCAAGTGAGTAAATATTGCACGGTGTAACTGGGTCAATTTCCTTGAACATGCTTAAACATACTCCTCCTTTCAGTATATTCTAGATCTGTCCAACCAGAAGATGACTTTTACTTTAGATAGGAGAATCACCGGCAGCCGCATTATTGACGAGTCCCTGCAAGTACATAGTCGATATAAGAATTTTTATTGCTTTTACATATATGTAGTCCAACGTGAAATAGTAAGAGTAACGTACGATTTGCGACTTCCCCCTGTATAGGAAATATTAGATTTCGTTATCAGAGATTATGTGGAACCATGGTACAGCGTTATTACAGACGACGAGGAATTTATATATTCCGTTCGAGATACTGCTCAGAAAATAGCCATCAATATTGCAAATCGGTACGTAAAATGCATATAGTTTGATGCATCTTTTTTACATTAGCTTCTTTCCTTTCTTTCTTAATTAGAGTGAAAGGTGTGGACTGGATACCATATTTAACTACGCGCCTCGTGGACGATGCAGCTTCCCACGTTAGATTGTATCGACAGGCAAGAGCGAGGATAAAGCAACTTCGGTCGAAGAAACTGCAGAAAGGTAGTGCAAGCTCGAGCACTTCCAGTGGCACACCTAAGAAGACACCCACACATAGACGGAATAAAAGCGAGACAGATGTATCCTGGTATTCTCAGTCCAAGTTCTACATTCCGAATTTATCTTCTCTCACCGAGCCAATCGAGAGCAACGAAGAGAAAGAAGAGGAGTCGCTGGAGAAAATATTTTTCGATCTGGAGGTGCAGATGGAGAACAATCTAATCTGCAGGGACCTAGTATCCACTAACAGCATCCAGGAACTCGAATTTTTGGGAGAAATATCTGAAATTCTGTTGTATCTCGTATTGCCAAAGGGAGACTTTGATTGCCTGACTGTGAGATTTATATTAAGGGAATTGTTAGTGAACGTGATTATCAAACCATTGTTGGATTTATTCTCTGATCCTGATTATATTAATCAGGCGTGTATATGGCTGGTAAGTGTATTACAAAATCACCATGAATATCAGAATAGGAGAATAAATTATGTCTCTTATAATTTTTCATTTTTCAGTGTGCTAAGGAAGGTGGCTTACCCAGCGACGTGTTTTTAACGGTGATCAGAGTAACCGATAGCTTAGACGAATTGACGGCGACAAAGAACATAGTTTGTAAAGAAATAGCTCATCTTCGTTCCAAGGATTCTGGAGGGGAGGATGATCTATCAGTGAAGCAACAATTGAATAGTTTACTTTATGTGAAAAAGATCTTAGAAACCAGAATTATCGGAATGCAAGAGGGGCTGGAGTCGGAGGCCGACGGAATCGGTACTCAGCCCGATTGGAACAGGCTGCTAATACCCGGGCAGAAGTTAGTGAATTTACCTCTAGACGAACTACTGAAAAACAATATCGCCTTAAGTTACTTCATCGACTACATGACCTCCATAAATGCAGAATCGTACCTGTTCTTTTACCTGAATATCTATGGCTGGAGAGTATCGGCGGAGCAACAGATATCGAACATTGAATTACAAAAGCTGCACGTGGCCCAAGCGTCTCCTGCTCTCGTAGGCACTAAGCGTAAAAACACGGATCTGGAAAATTTGAAGGAAGCGGCCACCAAAATTTATCAGCAGTACCTCAGCGACAAGGCATCCCCTAAGTTGCAATTAGACGATGTCTTGGTAAAGACTTTGTTGACCAGAATAAGAACCGAACCTGTGAAAGAGACGTGGTTCGACGATCTCAGATCTTGCTGTTACGAAAAATTACAGAATGAAGATCGATTTTTACCAGGTTTCAAAAGGTCCATGGCTTACGTAAAGCTACTGGCGGAATTAGATCTCCTGAAAGATCCGACGTCTGAAGAGGACACGAAATCTTTGGATAGTATTAGCTTGTCGAGTACAAATAACGAATTGGAGACGCTGGACGAGATGTCCGAGATGTACAAATCAGAGGACGCTAAACCAGCTGAATTGAAAAATAGCAAAGAGAAGTCTAGCTCTTCGACGAGTTTGGCCAGTATTGTGGAGCCAAATGAGGACAAATCAACCGAGTCTGATTCAACGATCAACGTTAAGACCGTGAAAAGCATGAGGAAAGCGGCCAGCATCGATACAGATCACATTAGCGAGGGCAAAGACGTTTCTTTCTACCTGGAATCGAATGCAGAGCAATTTGTTAAATTGGATGAAAATACTTACGATCAGAATGCCATTAAGAAGCTGCAACAGGGAAAATTCGAAATTACTGCCAAAATTATCGAGACTGGAATAGTTAATGATCGCGGGAAAACTTACGGGATCTACGCAGTAGCCGTGACTAAGAATTACGACTCCGGTTATCAGGAGAAGTGGCACATTTATAGAAGATACTCTGATTTCTATAATCTTCATCAGAAGATCAAGGAAAAGTACTATGACCTGGCGAAAATTCCTTTTCCAGCGAAGAAAGCTTTTCATAACATGGAAAGAACAGTTTTGGAAAGAAGAATGTTGATGTTGAATGCTTGGCTGCATCAATTAACAAAACCAGCTGTCGTCGAAGGACACATGGGTCTACAGAATTTGTTATTGAGCTTTCTGGAACAGGGGGATTACGACAAAGGCGTCACGGGTGGACAGATATCCAAAACGGTAATTATAATAATCATACAGTGTGTTTTAGGCAACAAAAAGACAAACTGAATCTTTCGAGCAATTGAAAATAGAGAGGAATGTAAACATTTTCCAATTATTGGCGACAGTAATTCAATGCATGATGTTCTGTTTAAAGAATTGTGTTTGCCTGGTACACTCTGTATATACAGGTAAGAGGATTACACAAGGTATTTAATCCTCGATTTAATACAGATAGATACTCTGATGAACCCGTTGAAAACGTCAATGAAAACAGTAACTCAGGCAGTGAAAACTATGCCGGATAATATGCTGAATACAGTAGATGAAGTTATGGACAATATAAGTAAATTCTTTGGCAATCCAAAAAAATCTAACGCCTTCCATGAGAACACCAAAGTTAGTGCTAGTCTGGACGTGGAGGTAGTTATTTTTTTTTTTTCTTTCTTTTGCTTTATAAATAAATATATATATATATGGCGATCGCACGATATTTAAGTAGTACATTTTAATTGCTTTTTATTTCAGACCGACGACAACATTCCTTTACGAATAATGCTACTGTTGATGGATGAAATTTTCGACCTAAAAGTAAGAAATCAGTGGCTCAGACGAAGAATAATCACGTTACTCAGACAGATTATTCGCACTATGTTTGGCGACATAGTAAATCGAAGAATAGTCGAATACGTTTCCCTACTAACAAGTCCAGCCAGGGTAGCTGGATATCTAAAATTATTTAAGTACGTGAACTTACATTTTGCCACGTGGCAAATCAATTAGGTAATCGTTGTTTAACTAATCATGCGAATATCGTAGGAATAGTTTTTGGCCCAATGGAATCAAAGCTGAGAAGAAACCACCGAGGGACGCTGAAATGAAAAACAGGACAAGAGTGGCAGCCAAGGTGGCACTCTTGTCCTGCCTTTCAGACGAATTGAAACATATCATAGGTAGTGAAACAACCAGGAGAGGTCTCCTGAGAGTGTTCGAATTGTTCCAGCGACCTGTACTCAACAGAAGACTTCTGTATGTGCTTCTAGAAGGAATTGTCGAGACTCTGTTTCCTCAGAACAACTTGGTGGACATTTTCCGGAAACTCTACTCGATTTCACCAAGGGTGCAACATAGAAACTTTCAGAGAACTTAAAATCTGATAATTTTATTCAGTGTTTCTCGGATTTAAGAACGCCTACGAATCTCTTTTTTTTTTATCAAATACTGTCTGCACCAAAGATATTGAACGGAGTGAAACGTGGGGATAATTACTGTAATCCTTGATTTCTCACGAACTATGAACGAAAATAAAAATTGACGAATACGCATTCTACGAAGGATATTAGAGGAACTAATACTTAAGCCTAGTTGAATTGTAAAATACAAAGGACATATTTCAGTCGATGCTCAAGCGGAAGATTACCTAAAAACTCGTTAGGACTAAAGTGATCATATACATTATTATCCCGAGCAACCAATTTCGTTGCAATAAATGAAAGGAGGGAAGTAGAAAAATTTTTCAAACTGGGAACAATTTGAAAGTTCTGTAGAAAAAAAAAAGGAGGGTTTGTAAACCATAATCTCAATTTCTAGTAATATATATATTGGGATAAAATAAGAGCAGTAATCCAGTGGCCAAATAAATCTAATAAACAATTTACATGAATTAATTCGAGCACTTTAATCGAATGTTTCGCTAATAGGTTACGAAACGTTTCGATTATCTCGTAGATACACGCGTATTTAAGAACATTATGCATTCCAATTTGCATTTTAACAATGTACTTCATAAAGGAACACTTTTTACACGTGTACTAGAAGACCAACTTTTCTCATGGCGGTGTTATTCTTTAGCATTACGAACCGTCGCGAAAATATATACTTAATTCGCCAAAATACATTTTCAATATATCGTGCCATTTCAAGCCCACAACGTAGCAAGGGGGATAAAAGTAAAAAAAAAAAAAAAAACGAAGTTTCTATTTATTTCGAATCTCTTTGGAGAATCTCTTTCGGAGACTATAAATTTGTAAAATTTTAATTTAATTCGCCTGTCGTTGACGAATGTAATTATTCTTAACGGCAGTGTAAGATTGTTGTAAATGTCGTACAATTGTATATATACATAAACGTTATTTCTATCGTGTTGAAGCGCCATATCTGTCACTGTTTACTTATTATTAAAGGAATTGTTTATAAATCGATACTATTTACTCTCTTCTCACGTTCCTGTCTACCTTTTCTACATAAAAAAATTGTGGTACTGACCTTTACTAATTCTAATCAAAAAGACATGAAAAATTCATAATCTAAAAACAAAATATTTTTTTTTTTTTGAACATATACAATTTTCAAGTTGAACCGGAAGAATAAAAATTAATATTATCCAAAGAACAAATATAAACAACTTTTCATGAAGCAAAGTTGAAAGAAAGGAATAAGATTTACGGCGTTAATAACACTCGCGCAAAGCCGGAAGTTCCCAAGTTTTCACGGTCAAATGTGGATTGTTAGTCCCACCGGGTACTAGTTGGAAAATCATAGAAATTAACTGGATTCGTGTTTCAAAAGTCGGCGACAATAAAACTAGTTAATTACTGCGAATCGATTGACCGTGGTCATTAATAATAGCGAGGGAACTCGCGACAAGAAGAGAGAAAAGAATGAGCGAAAACAAAGAAACTTTATTACCAAAGGCCTGCTGCTGCGCGATTAGAGGGAGTATATTAGAAAACAAAAAAAAAAGAGAGAGGGGACCGGGTACAAGAGCATCGTCTCCTCGTTGTTTCGCCTCATACGGGGACATTTAGCTCGAGCAAAAAGAAGGGGGGCTCTGTAAGGGCTTTCAGCGTCCGAGGAAGGGGGTCAGACGAGACCGGGCCATTTTAGTCCGTACAAATTTTTTTTCCATTCATCGACCTCTTCCATCCTCTGCTTTTTTCCTCGAATTCCTCTTCTCAATGATTTTTGGAACGACGACGGTCTCAAATAATCTAAAAATAAACTCTAATCTCTCTCTCTCTCTCTCTCTTTTTACAGTTTCACACGTTTTACTGTTTCTAAGAATTTCTCCTAAGTATCTCTCCTACTTTTGGTACAGACTATTCCTGCGGACGAGGAACCTCTTAATCCCCTACAGTTAAGAACTACATCCTTCCCCAGCGTCGAACCCGGAACCTCTATCCAGATCGTGGGTTCAGCCGCCAAGCCAAGCCGCTAAAAACGAGCCTCCTCTATCCATTGTGGCGAAAAGAATCGGCGGCGGTGGCGCGTCTAGCGCATTTTCAAAAGGGGTTCCAGAGCGGCAGTCGGCCCCCAGGCTCTCTCTCTCGCCGCGCGGCGAAAGAAGAGGGGAAACGCATCGTCAGAGGCGTACACAGCCGGGCAACGACTACCGAACGACGTACTAACGAAAGAAAATCGATATGCATGATTCACGCACGCGAGAGAGGACGCCTCGAAGGGGCGGAGGGCGGGGGGGGCAGGGGGGCAGGGATACGCAGGGGTGGGTATACGCACGGTGAAAGGCTGTAGGAGAGGCAATAGAGGGGAAGAGGAGAACGGAGAGCCACTCTTCTCCCTTCGTGCTCCCTTTTGCCGCGAACCAAGGGGACGGAGAGAGCTGTATGCGCGATCAACACACGTAATTCTATACAAGCGCACGAGGAGGGGTATTCTTACAATGCTACCCCCTCGGTCACTCGATCAGTCGTGTCCAGAGTCCCATGCTCGTTGCGAACTTTCATGGCTCTTCCCAGCGTCGCCCATTCTCGCGT